GAGAGCTTCTCTTTCTGAGAGCTCCAGAAAAAAGTCCTTGGTTGGATTCTGTTTGGCCCTCTTTGTGGTTAGTCCCAACTCTGGACTAAACAATGTGGACAAAGGAATGAGGCATTCTAACTGGTTAGCCTGGGTCCATGTACCCTCCCTCTCCCATAAGCCCCAGGGGGTGCTACATGATTAACAATCCCATTAGGAAATCATTATCTTTCAGTGGCAGCTTCAGTAAGGAAAAGGGTTAAGCATACAAAATATCTTGATAACATCATTCCATATACATAAGATATAAACAAACCAACTGTTCAGAAGCCCAGCTACTCCCCAGACTAATACTTAAGAAATCATGTCTCCTCTAGGACCTCAATAACACACTGATAGGGATATTTTATTATACAAGTGTCTTCTATTACATCTCCATTACAAACCAGTGGCATAATGCCAATGTGGTTTGATTTTTTTTTTTTTTAATTCTATGAGAGACTAGAGCAATGCAATTCAAACACACAGCTCTTTGTGACTTTTTTCCAAGGATAAAATTTAGCATCTAAACAGGACAAGATGGAATGAATATTCTTCACGTGTCTTAGTCACAACCCTTAGTTGCACGGAATAAACCAGTGTAGCCATCTTACTGAGAGATATAAACTAAATGCAAAACAAACAAGAAACGGTATTTTGTTCCCACCATTGTCTTTAACTATCACACCTCTTTTCTTGCCCTTGACATCTTGGGCAGCTCCTATAGCTTTTCGGTCTCTTTCAAGTTTAAAAGGCCCAAGCTAATTTAATCTAATTTAAAACTCTCTCACATTCACTTTTTAAAAACAGCTTTATTAAGATATAAATTATATATAATTCAGTGTTTAAATGTACAATTCAGTGGTTTTTAGCATATTCAGAGTTGTGCGACCATCACTACAATCAATTGTAGAACATTTTCACCACCCACAAAAGAAACTCACACTTGGTTTAAAGCCCCTCTCCTTTTTTGGCTCAGGGACCAGCTATTGCTGGAGAGAGAAATGTCACTCCTTTTATCATTTTCCTTTGTTATTCAATTTCTCCCCTACAAAGTCCAGAATTGGGGCAGGGAAGGTGGGGACTGGGGGAAAGAGGCAAAGGTAGTTTTACTGAGGTGGTAGGATGACCAAACTTTTCCAGTTTGCCAGAGACTGATGAAGTTTTTTAGGATACAGGACTTTTATGGGCAAACTCAGAAAAGTTCCAAGCAAACTGGGATAGTTAGTCACCGTATTGATCTGGTGCTGTTTGCATTAATAATTCACTCATTTGATCAATAGCTAATCATCATACTTTGTCAAAGCCACTTTCCAGGTGTTCAACTCTGGGCTCTTCTTTGGGCAACTGCCAAACTGCAATTTCCTAACACAGCGTATGCACACTGGTTGACCTCTTCCCCTTTCAAATCCTGTCTTCCGTTGCTGGTAATGTTAATTTTGATTGGGTTAAAATGGTAACAACCAGAAAGCTTCACCATTATAATGTCAAATTTCTACTTTCATGACTAGCAAATGATCCACAGGGTGATATTTCAACATCATTTAGATAATCAGCCCTCAATCAACCTTTTACCTAATGGTTTCAGCATTAACAGTCTTTGGCTGATTTATTTCATTAGGGGTTGCAAAATGATTTATCCTCTGATTCACAAAGATGAGTCATGTTACTAGGAATATTCATGTACAAATATCCGTGTGGACATGTTTTCAATTCTCTTGGAGATATATATATAAACCTAAGAATGGAATCGCTGGGCCAGAGCAACTCTATGTTTAACACTTGAGAAATTCCCAGACTATTTTACAAAGCAGCTCCACCATTTTACAATCCTGCCACTGTGTGATTGATCACTGTGTGATCAAAGTGTGATTGATACAATCACACATTGTATCAATTATTGTAGCTTTGCATTAAGTTTTGAAATCTGGCATTGAAGGTTGTACTTGCACCACACCATTGCCAACACTTGATATGGTCAGTCTTTTGGGGGATACAGTCATTCCAGTAGGTGTGAAGTGGCAGCTCAGTGGGGTTTTGATTTGTATTTCCCTAATGATAAATGATTTTTGAGCATTTTTCATGTGCTTGTTGGTCAATTGTCCACCTTATTTGGAGAAATGTCTACTCAAATCCTCATCCATTTTAAAACTGGGTTGTCTTTTGTTTAATATACATTCCTGATACAAGCCCCTAATCAAACACACGATTTGCAAATATTTTCTCCATTCAATAGGTTGTCTTTTCACTTTTTTGATGTTACCCTTTGAAGCATTATTTTTTCTTTAGTGACTTGTGCTTTTCCTGTTGTACCAATGCTTTGCCTAGCCCAAGTTCACAAAGATTTACTGTTGTTTTCTTTTAAGAATTTTGTTTTAGCTCTTTTATTCATGTCTATGAGGTATCTGCATTAACTTTTGTAAATGATGTAAGGTCTAACTTCACTCTTTTACAAGTATATATCCAGTTATCCAGCGTCTTTGGTAAAAAGACTTCTTCCCCAGAGAATTATCTTGCCACCCTTGTCAAGAACAAATTGCCTATAGTAAAAGGGTTTATTTCTGGACTCTCAATTCTATTGCATTGCGCTATATATTTATCTTTATGCCAGTCACACATTGTATCAATTATTGTAGCTTTGCATTAAGTTTTGAAATCTGGAAGTATAAGTCCTCCAAATTTGTTCCTTTTTAAGATTGTTTGGCTATTTTGGGTTCCTTGCATTTCCAGATGAATTTTAAGATCAGCTTGTTAATTTCTGCCCAAAAGGCAGCTGGGATGTCAATAGTGTTTGTCTTGAATCTGTAGACCCATGAAGAATATTGCTAACTTAACAATATTAAATCTTCCAATCTATGAACATGGGATGTCTTTCCATCTATTTCCTTATTCTCAGGTCTTCATACATTCCTTTAAATAATGCTTTGTAGCTTTCAACACACAATCTTGCACTTCTTCAATTAAATTTATTCCTAAGCATTTTATCATTTTGATGCTATCATAAATGGAATTTCATTTTAGAACTGTTGTTAGTGTAACAATACAATTGACTTTGTATATTGCTCAACTTTAAAAAAATTTTTGTGTGGATTCTCTAGAATTTTCTGTATACAAGATCATGTCACCTGTAAATGTTGTTCAGTTGCTAAATCATGCCTGGACACTGCAATCCCATGGACTGCAGCACACCAGGCTTCCTTGTCCTTCACTGTCTCCCAGAGTTTGCTCAAATTCATGTCCATTGAGTCAGTGATGTTATATAACCATCTCATCCTCTGTTTCTCCCTTCTCCTCTTGCCCTCATCTTTTCCAGCATTAGGGACTTTTCCAATGAGTCAGCTCTTTGCATCAGGTGGCCAAAGTATTGGAGTTTCAGCTTCAGCATCAGTCCTTCCAATGAATATTCAGGATTGATTTACTTTAGGATTGACTGGTTTGATCTCCTTGCTGTCCAAGGGACTCTTTCAAAAGTCTTCTTCAGCACAATTTGAAAGCATCAATTCTTTGGTGCTCAGCTTTCTTGATGGTCCAACTCTCACATTCATACACGACTACTGGAAAAACCACAGTTTGACTATATGGACCTTTGTTGGCAAAATGATATCTCTCCTTTCTAATATGCTGTCTAGGTTTGTCACGGCTTTTCTTCCAAGGAGCAAGAGTTCGTGGCTGGAGCCACCATCTGCAGTGATTCTGGAGCCCAATAAAATAAAATGTCACAGTGTCCACTTTTGCCCTGTCTATTAGTCATGAAGTGATGGGACTGGATGCCATGATCTTAGTTTTTTGAATGTTGAGTTTTAAGCCCATTTTTTCACTCTCCTCTTTCACTCTCATCAAGAGGCTCTCATCAAGTTCCTCTTTGCTTTATGCCTTAGAGTGGTATCATTCGCATGTCTGAGGTTGTTGATATTTCTCTCGACAATCTTGATCCCAGGTTGTGGGTCATTCAGCCCGGCATGTCCCATGATGTACTCTGCATACAAGTTAAATAAGCAGGGTGACAAAATATAGCCTTGAAGTACTTCTTTCCCAATTTTGAACCAGTCTGTTGTTCCATATCCAGTTCTAACTGTTGCTTCTTGACCTGAATTCCAAAACATCTACTGCTTCAATGACTATACTAAAGCCTTTGACTGTGCAGATCACAACAAGCTGTGGAAAATTCTTAAGAGAGATAGGAGTACCAGACCACCTTATCTGTCTCCTAAGAAACCTGTATGCAACTATATAGAAGACGTTTTTTCTTTCTTTTTAATCTGGAAGCTTCTTTCTTTTTCTTGCCTAACTGCCCTGGCTATCAGCTGCAGTACAATGTCGAGTAGAAGTGGTGAAAGTGGACATCCTGTCTTGTTCCTGATCTTAGGGAGAAAGTATTGTTTGATGTTAACTATATGTTCTGCTTTTTTTTGTTTTGTTTTTTATAGTTGCTCTTTATCAGGTTGAGGAAGTTCCTTTCTATTCCAAGTTTTGCTGAATGTTTTATTATGAAAGGGTGTTCAGTTAAGTCGCTCAGTCGCGTCCAACTCTTTGCGACCCCATGATTCGCAGCATACTAGGCCTCCCTGTTCATCACCAACTCCAAGAGTTTATTCAAACTCATGTCCATTGAGTTGGTGATGCCATCCAACCATCTCATCCTCTGTCGTCCCCTTCTCCTCCTGCCCCCAATCCCTCCCTGCATCAGAGTCTTTTCCAATGAATCAACTCTTCGCATGATGTGGCCAAAGTACTGGAGTTTCAGCTTGAGCATCAGCCCTTCCAGTGAACACCCAGGACTGGTCTCCTTTAGGATGGACTGGTTAGATCTCCTTGTAGTCCAAGGGACTCAAGAGGCTTCTCCAACACCATGGTTCAAAAGCATCAATTTTTCGGCGCTCAGCTTTCTTCACAGTCCAACTCTCACATCCATACATGACCACTGGAAAAACCATAGCCTTGACTAGATGGACCTTTGTTGCAAAGCAAAGTAATGTCTCTGCTTTTTTTTTTTTTTTCCACAAGCATTTAACAGTTTAATGGGTATGTAGTTTTATCAGTATACAAAACGATCTTAGATGGTCAGTGCAGTTGTTCTGGAGTGATCACTGTATCAGGAAAAGGACACTGCACCAAAAACAGAACACCAACTTTCAAAAGGTCTTTTCAAACAGTTTCCTTCTTTGCAAACAGCTTTCAGCTCAGGAGAGAAGAACAGCACTTAATTACTGCATCCCTTGCATATGGGATGTATGACAGACTATACCAGGTCATCAACAGGAACTGCAATATGCAGAATAATACGGCCAGCCCCTTCTTATGCCACCAAAGAGCAGCGCACAGGGTGAGCACGAAACACAGAAGCATAATAATTGTTGCAAGCAATCTCGTTGTTTCAAACATTTTCTTCAGTTGTTTCAGAGGTCCCATTAAAAAGCATGTACTGGCTAATGCAGCAATATTTCCAAAGGTATAAAACACGGCAAAAAGCTTTATGCCTCCAGGGAGCCACAGCAATCCAGTTCCAAGGATGGAGAAGAAGATGCCGCTGACGAAGCATATGGCAAACCACTTCAGCCTGGTGTTGAAACTAAGCGTCGAGGCATCAAGGACCTGCGCGGTCAGGCCCTGCTCCTCATCGTCCTGGCCGCTCAGGACCCGCCGCAGCTTCTCCATGGCCGCAGCCGCAGCGCCCAACCCGCCCCTCTCTCGCCCACTGAGAAAACCCATGTCTCTGCTTTTTAATATGCTATCTAGGTTGGTCATAACTTTCCTTCCAAGGAGTAAGCGTCTTTTAATTTCATGGCTGCAATCACCATCTGTAGTGATTCTGGAGCCCAAAAAAATAAAGTCTGACACTGTTTCCGACAGAAGCAGAAGATATTAAGAAGAGGTGGCAAGAATACACAGAAGAACTGTACAAAAAAGATCTTCACGACCCAGATAATCATGACGGTGTGATCACTCACTTACAGCCAGACATCCTGGAATGTGAAGTCAAGTGGGCCTTAGAAAGCATCACTACAAACAAAGCTAGAGGAGGTGATAGAATTCCAGGTGAGCTATTTCAAATCCTGAAAGATGATGCCGTGAAGGTGCTGCACTCAATACGCCAGCAAATTTGGAAAACTCAGCAGTGGCCAAAGGACTGGAAAAAGTCAGTTTTCATTCTAATACCAAAGAATGATCAAACTACCACACAATCTCACATGCTAGTAAAGTAATGCTTAAAATTCTCCAAGCCAGGCTTCAGCAATACATGAACCGTGAACTTCCAGATGAAAGGGTGTCAGATATTGTCAAATGCTTTTTCCACATTGAGATATGTGATTTTTGTGCTTTATTCTATCAATATGGCATATCACACAGATTGATTCTTGAGTGTTATATTAGCCTTGCATCCTGGTATAAATCCTATCAGATCACAGTGTATATAATCTCTTTTATGTTGCTGGCCTCAGTTTACAGAAAAGAGTACAAAGTGGATCTTGATGGGGCAAATTGAAGATAAGCAGCAAGTAACCAAAGTCAGTAAGTCCTGACTCTGAAGCCAGTGCTTTTTTTCCACTAGAAAGTAAATCAATACGGATATGCAATTTGATGGTTTAAATGAGAAATGCATAAAAATATGAAGGCATGGTTCCCTAGTCACAAATTATTTGTAATAAAGATGAGAGGACATATACACGTAAAATAGTGAGTAAATATTTTAAAATAGGTGAAGAAAATAAAATCAATGTAAGAGGTTACCTTGGGCTTCCCTGGTGGTTTAGACAGTAAAGAATCTGCCTGCAATGCAGACCTGGGTTCAATTCCTGAGTTGGGAAGACTCCCTGGAGAGGGGAATGGCAACCTACTCCAGTATTCTTGCCTATAGAATTCCATGGACAGAGGAGATTGGCGGGTTACAGTCCATGAGGTCACAAAGAGTGGGACACGACTGAGTGACTAACACTTTCATTTTCACAAGTGGTTACCTTGTGCTTCATTTATATTCACGTAGTGGAGGGCACAAAATATTGGCTTCAGTACTCAATGCCTAGCTTCCTGGGAAAAACTTTTAAACTATCAAAGATTGATACTAGAAAGCTAACCTAGAAGAAAAAAACATTTAATGGGCACATACTATGTACTTGGTGTTTTAATATATTCTTAAATTAGAAACCGTAATATTATTCCTGATTTACAAATAAAGGAATTAAAAAAAAAAAATAAAGGAATTACAGTTCAAAAAATTAAGTTAACTTAAATTGGAAGCCAGGATATGATTTCCAGTGTGTCTGATTTGTCCAGGAGTACAGCTTTCTGTGCTACATCCACATTCTAGAAGCATCCTAAAGCAGAAGACTTGGAGGTTAATAGTCTAGCATTTAAGTCTCATAAATAACATTAATTTGTTATTAAATTTTGAGCAATTCATAGCCGCTCATAAGCCTAGTTACTCTGTTTAAATAAAATAGAGATGATAACATACCCTGCTCTTATCTCTGAAGGATCATAGAGTGAAATCCAAGCATGGCAGAGGATTAGGCCAAAATACTAAACATGACTATGTGTGCATGTGTATGTGATAACTTACGTATCTGTATCTATACTCCAAAGCCAATATTAAAACTGTTAACAGAAATCACTACTAATGGAAAACACTGAGGTTACTATTAGTTTTTAATAGTTTGTCTTTCATTTCTCATAAATTCCTTGGCAAATATTCTATGTTGAAATGGTATCTGAAAAAGTGAGGAAAGAAGTTAAGATTTAAAAGTAAGGGAAACGACACATTAATAAAAAGGCAAAGTTTTCAGTATATAGTCATTAGTACCCAAATCTGTGCATGCTATTTATAGAGGCTCCATTAACTAGCTTCATGACCAAGGCCAAGTTCTCTACATTATGATTCAGTTTAATCTCCTAATAGAGAAACATCAATTCTATTACCAGAGGGGTGTTGTGTAGAATGAGGTTATAATATGAAAGTCACAGAAAAAAGCTAGTGATGAATTTCACCATTTGAGACCTGCTCATAGGAAAAACATCTTTCATCACTAGAATCCATATCTACGGCCTCTGCTGAAAGAAACTGTTGTTCTGATAACCTCCCTAACCTCCCCAATTCTCACTACAGGTCTTTCTAAATTGTCAGATGAACCTTATGGTTAAGCCATTTCTCTTTCTGGTGACAGAGACAGAAGTAACCTGATGAACAACAACATCACTTCTGGCCTTTATAAGTCTAGGAACTTTTACATCCTACTTCCCAAGGCTGAAAATTTTTATACTATACCATTTACATTATATCCTTTGCATCTTGCCCAGGGTAAAACATCCAAAAAGTACATAATAAAAAGAGAAAATAAAATTTAAAAAACAACAAAAAATCTTCCCTCTAATACTTGGCTACAGATTGCATTCAGGGTATGAATAAGAGATGCTACCATAATAGAAGGGTAATTTTTATTTTACAATGACAAGGCAAGGCTATTGAGTTGACCATGAAGTCTCATTTGAGTTCATACTTTGCAGCTGAACTTTCCCAGTTCAAAAATTAATTCCACCGAAAACAGACTTAAAACCTCTGTCTGCAGACAAAGTGTAGGCCAGATTTAAACATGATGATGGAGATGGCTGACAAGATTAAGCAAAGAAAATGACTGTACTCGGTTTCAAGTTCTTTTTCTTCTTGGAAACATTCTCCATGGTAATATAAGACTCAAAATAAAGACAGATTGTCCTGGCCAGAGAAGGTTAAAGCTGTCATAGAGAACTGTAGGCTATTCTTCTATCTTTGTCTGGTGATATCCATGTCTCTCAGAGAGGTCTGGCTAAACGAGAATATTCTTTGCAATAGCATTCAAAGTCCTTACTTGGGTCACATCTGTAACCTTTAGAGAATATTCTGAGTTAGAAAGAGAGGCTCCCATAGCAACAGAGGAATTTCTGCAATGGAAATAATAAAGAAACAGATAATTATATAGGTTGTTAAATGAACCCTCCTACTGTCACTTCATTTTAGGGTAGATTTCATGGCTCAAGAACAAGGTCCTTGAACTAACATATTTCATAATTTTTATTAATTACTTGGACACACCTAGTGTCTAAATAGACCAGATAGTATACTTGATTTTATATCTGGAATTGTAAATCTGAGGCTCTTGCTTCTTTTATACCTCATTTTCCCCAACTTATAAACAGAAATAATGAATTAACTATTAAATTATAGGAGTCCTCTCAAGTATGATAGAAAACACATAATAGTTTAAATTCCTTAAAAGTGATAAACTCTCAAAATGACTAAAAATAGGGAATTCCTTGGTGGTCCAGTGGTTAGGACTCTGCTTTCACTGCCAAGGGTGTGAGTTGAATCCTTGGTCAGGGAACTAAGATTCCACAAGCTGTGAGGCATGGTCAAAAACAATAAAATTAAGAAAAAAAAAAAAGAGGGAGTAAAGGTGAGGAAATATTTTAAGTATTAACAGTAGGAAAGATAAAAAGGACTACAGCCCTTCCATCCTTATTACCATAGTTATTAATTTTGCCCAAGGAAATCACAGATGAATGGGCACACATACATATCTACTTCATTTGAAGCTTAGCTGCTGAATTAGAGTTTACTATTAACTGGTCTAAGTTCAGCAAAGCCTTAAAGATTTGGAGGTTAGCCTATGTTCAGAAGAGCCTGCTTATTTAAGGCAGGATAAGAGCCACTCTGCAATTAAAAAACTTTAAAAATGACTAATACTTACATGCTAATCACAACATTCTATTCATTAATCATGCCATCAACTAAGCTTTTCCTATTTGGATAAGTAAAAATTAATCCCATTCCTTTTTGTAGGAGCCAAAGGAGTCATTTTTACCGAAACTTCATTCCTGAATCTCTGGCCGACCGAGCAGAACAGTGGAATTCTGTAGCACCTGAACCCTCAAGGATCCTTTGCAGATTTCTATCTGTTATGCCACCCCCTGTTGGAAAGAATAAGTAATACAGTAAGTAGAATAGATTTTCACATAAAATTTAGTGACTAATATGACTGCTAGCTCTACCTGGGATCTTTGTACTGAAATTCCTCATTGATATTCTCTCCTTAATCAGTTAAAATGAATTTAGAAACAAATGATGAAAGACAAGACAGCAGACTCTGGAGAACGAAGAACCTTTATGACAGAACTGTACGTGCCCACTGGTTTATATAACAATGCTCTATGTTACTGATTTTAAATCTAAAAAGATTACTCTGGGGCAAGGAAAATCATTGAGTACTCAAGCCCTGCTTCCCCTTAATTAAAGCAAAATCAAATTAAAAGGAAAGGAGGAAGGTGTCACAAAAGCAAAGACTCAGAAACATATCTCAAAGATAAAACTTCAAAACAAAATCAAAAACAAAAATAGAACATCTCCAAGGTTCTTTCTCTGACCCATAATACATGGATTTCACCGGAAACGGGAACAATGCAAAGTGCTACACAGTTTCTTTATTATAATGCCAATTTTTAAATTTCATTTTACACAAGAATTTGATTCTAATTTATTAAAATTGCATAATCAAGGATTTTGACTCATTTGTTTTGAGGAACAATCTTTTAAATGTCTGTATATAAAGATTTATATTCTGAACTGATATCAGGTTAGATGACTGTTAAAATATGTATTTTTTTACCTCAAGTTGCTTGAGATCAACTTGATTATGACCAATCTAGATAGCATATTAAAAAGCAGAGACATTACTTTGCCAACAAAGGTCCGTCTAGTCAAGGCTATGGTTTTTCCAGTAGTCATGTATGGATGTGAGAGTTAGACAATAAAAAAGCTGAGTGCCAAAGAATTGATGCTTTTGAACTGTGGTGTTGGAGAAGACTCTTGAGAGTCTCTTGGACAGAAAGGAGATCCAACCAGTCCATCCTAAAGGAGATCAGTCCTGAATATTCATCGGAATGACTGATGTGGAAGCTGAAACTCCAATACTTTGGCCACCTGATGCGAAGAACTGACTCACTGGAAAAGACCCTGATGCTGGGAAAGATTGAAGGCAGGAGAAGGGGACGACAGAGAATGAGATGGTTGTATGGCATCACCAACTCGAAGGACATGAGTTTGAGTTAAGCTCTGGGAGTTGGTGATGGACAGAGAAGCCTGGTGTGCTACAGTCCATGGGGTTGCAAAGAGTTGGACACGACTGAGTGACTGAACTGAACTGACTGGTTAAAGTTGCCGAAATAACTTGACTTACACATTCTTTCAGACTCATTAACTTTTTTTTTTTTCAGTCATACAGTACAACAACAACAAATACCACTGAGCCCTAAGAAAGAACACAGACTGAGAGGTCAGATTTCGATTAGAATCCTGGCTTTACCACTATGGCCCTTCACAGCTATGTGGCCTTGGATAAATTACCCAAGTCTACTGAGCCTCAATTTTTTTCATCAAAGAGGGATAGTACTGCCTACTTCACAAACTTGTTGTAAGGATTAAAAGACAAATATTTGTTACTTTCTTCTAACAAATAACAGAATATCTGGTCACTGAAATACATGTTACTCAGTTATCAGAACATAAGTAATACATTTCCCAAACATAGATTAACAGTTGGCGCTTGAAAGAACTAGTTCAATACCTTCTCTTTATAAAGATAAGGGAACTGGAGCCTAAATTATAAGCTTCATTATGAAAATCCCCTAGAGGGAAACTGCTATGTTTTATCTTTATATTTCCCAGTGATGGACACATGTTAGGCATTCAGGCTGATGTACCCAGGAATTTTTACTTGCTGGTATTTATTTACATGAAATTATTGTAATTTGTTTATAGATCAACTCAGTAAGCTCCTCAAGTAGAAGGATTACTTCATATACATTTCTGTGTTTTTACATCTACCACAGAACCTGGCATATAATCAGCATTTTCTTGGTAAGGTTTGTTATATAATCACAAATACTTTGGATATAACATCATCTCACTTAAGACTATAAGCCTCTTGAGGAAGTAGTTTCTTGTAACTCTGTATCCCAAGTAGTGCCTTGCACATAGCACATAACTTAACAATTACATATAATGCAAAAGCAATCTTAAGTTAACAACTATCTAAGTGTGGGTATTAGTCGTCAAGACTAAATACATTTAGTCTTAATGGAAATGCATCAGACACAATTAAGTCTCTTTAAGATTCCCTGATTAATCTTTTAAGGGTCTCAATTAAACAGATAATGTACGCTTTCTGTCTGCTTATGTTTCAGGAACATGCTAGAAGTCAAAGCTTTCCTAAAATTCTGACACTATACCTCTATTTGGCCTCTTTTTAAAAGTTTTTATCTAACTATCACCATTGTGACTCCTGGTCAGTCTCGGCATTACTGGTATTAAGACAACCAGACATTATATGCCTTCTGATGTGATGAAACGTGAAGTATACAGAATTACTGTGAACTATTTCTACCAAGAATATTTAACCACAATCTAACCAAGCCTTATGATCTAACTACCAGTTTATAGGAAATACAGAGACTAGGAAATACATGCTAGACAATATTGAAAGGAAACAATCCAATAAAACCAGAAATTAGGACATTTTATAGCATAAGTGGTTCAACCTTTTTAAATGTCTTTTTTTTTTAAGCAGAAAAAGAAAACTATATTAAAACATATTAAGAAAGATAACAACAAAGTGCAATCCTTGTTCCTTGATTGAATCCTGGTATGAACATATCAGCTATAAAAAACATTCTGGGTACCGTTAGTATTGGCTGAGTATTAAATGGTATTTTAGGGAATTAGTGTTTATTTTGATAGATGTGATAATGATATTGTGGTTATATGCCCATAATGCCCAGGATATAGTTAAAATCCTACCCCTCTGCCCCCGCCACATTTTAAGAGAAGTATAAAGTGTCACAATGCCTTTAGTTTAATTTAAGATGCCTCAGGATAAAAAAAGATGAGACAAATGTGACAAGATGTTAAATACAGAAATTGAGTACATGAGTATTTATATGCTATTTTCTACTTTTTTTTTTATCTGTTTGAGAAATTTAGTAAGAAAAACTTAAGACTGTCTTTATATTCATCTCATTCTGGATCTAGGTCTACTTATCTAATTCTTTAAAAACAACTGACTTCTAATGAGCCATTATGTACTTAATTGACCTTACAGTTATCATTAGGAGTATGTGATCTAACTGTTCTGACTACAAGAATTTGCTCACTAGAGATTTTTCTAAAATTGTGTATTACATTATTCAGGGATATTACCTAAACGTTTACTTATACTTTGTCACCAACTAGGACATGTGGCCCTAATCCAGTGTAGCAGCATCAAACTTGGTAAGTAAGCATCACCAGAAATGAACATCTACATTCACAAGATTGTATATTATGGGAAAGCAAATGTGGAGAAATCCCAATCCTTATCTGCTCTTCTCTGAGCTAAACCTCACACAAAGTTCTAAATTGCAGTCAGGATCTCCCAATCTTAAACATTTTAATAAAATTAAACACCATGTGCTAATACTTCTCCCCAAATTGTCCTGCCTCTTTTGCTCTTCCTTCCCATTTTCAGGGTTACACTAGTAAATGGATAGATACATACCTGGCATTACCACAATCCTGCCTTTGGCCTGAAAAATAAAAAAAAATTAAACAAGTAAATTTTAATATCTTTCTCTTACAAAGGATAGTAAGGCAGTGAAACAGAAAATAGCTATACTAAATTATTACTAATATCTAATTTCAATAGATCTTTTCTAATTCTTTGGAATCATGCATAAGTAAAATGCTCAGCATATTAATTCCTTCTATCCAAAAAGGTTATTTGATTGTATTGCTTTAAAAACTTGTACTGTTACGAACATAAGAGTAGAACTAAATATAAATACTAAATAATCACATTATCTTAAGAAAAGCTATTACTGAAAAATAACACTAATTCTGAATTCTTGGTATGCAATGGAATGAAAGTAGTTGAATTTAAATAAGATTTCAGTATAAAAGAAAGAGTATAGCATAACTATAAATTACTGGGGGAAAAAAATCTGTTCAAATCCTATATCCTCAAATCCTAAATATAGGAAATTTATATCCTATAAATTACCTAGCATATTATACCAATTAAAAAACACCAGAGGTCCATTCTATCGGATAAAATGAACTATAGGAATTAATTTAATTTCTGATAATTCCAGAAGATAGGTATAGAAATCTCCTTTCATTCTAATTTTTATATTTCCTAAATAAATTTAGGTGATACATACTCAGTATCACTCAAAATCAAAAGGAAATCACCCTTTTTACAAATGTATACTCACTGGAAACACTAGTAGCAGGTAGGTAATAATGACAGAATTAAAAATAACATGCTACAGCAAGCTCACTAATTTGCAGAATAAAACCCCGATCACATTGCTCTGTCATGAAAGGGTTTATTAAATGTCACTTGATTTACCTTTTCATACTGTTCATGGGGGTCTCAAGGCAAGAATACTGAAGTGGTTTGCGAAGAGTTCTGCCAAGAGAACGTACTGGTCATAGAAAACATCCTCTTCCAACAACACAAGAGAAGACTCTACACATGGACATCACCAGATGGTCAACACCGAAATCAGACTGATTATATTCTCTGCAGCCAAAGATGGAGAAGCTCTATACAGTCAGCAAAAACAAGACCGAGACCTGACTGTGGCTCAGATATTGAACTCCTTATTGCCAAATTCAGACTGAAATTGAAGAAAGTGGAGAAAACCACTAGACCATTCAGGTATGACTTAAATCAAATCCCTTATGACTATACAGTGGAAGTGAGCAATAGATTTAAGGGACTAGACCTGATAGACAGAGTGCCTGATGAACTATGGACAGAGGTTTGTGACATTGTACAGGAGACAGGAATCAAGACCATCCCCAAGAAAAAGAAAACCAAACAAGCAAAATGGCTGTCTGAGGAGGCCTTACAAATAGCTGTGAAAAGAAGGGAAGCGAAAAGCAAAGGAGAAAAGGAAAGATATACCCATTTGAATGCTGAGTTCCAAAGAATAGCCAGGAGAGATAAGAAAGCCTTCCTCAGCGATCAGTGCAAAGAAATAGAGGAAAACAACAGAATGGGAAAGACTAGAGATCTCTTCAAGAAAATTAGAGATACCAAGGGAACATTTCATGCAAAGATG